TACTGGAAATCTGATTGCCTTTTAGATACTATGTAAATGGGACATATTGGTACATGGGGAATGATTTAAAAGGCTGATGTTATAAGACTGAATGTTGAAATGCAAATCGTATGAGGTGCATACCGGAGATACTGTACATCATGTTATGTCATCCAGAACACAGTATTCCTAAAAGCTTTTTCAGTTACTTCTTCTCTTGATGATCTGTTTTACTTTTATTATATTTCTTTGTCTGAAAACTCTTTCCAGAAGAGAGTGGGGTGACAGTCAAGAGTTACTTGATATGGTTATAAGATGGAACAAGATAAAAGCTTTAGTTTTGAATTGTGGCTGTTGTTCTAGCTCTGTAATTTATTTTCTAGATGGTCATGAAAATAAAATGCCACGTGTATATTGCTTTGTTGCTCTGTGCTATGTAAGCCTGCTTAGAGACAGTATGTGCAGAAATTGTCTGGCTTTTGTGTTGATGTACAAATTGCTGCCCTTGTTAGATGTAGCCCGTGCAAAGCTTCCTTAGAGATATATATTTTTTCCCTGATATCTGTCATTTTTTCATGATTGAAAACCATATATGAACTATGTTTTTTCAGACAGTTAATGTTTTTGAGTAGTCAGTAAGCAGAAGAGCTATGCAATGACAGTTCATGATAGTATATGTAACTATTTTTTCACTTAATTGGAAGTGATGCAATGTTTTTGTTGTTGCTGTTTTGATATATTTTATTTGTATAAGAGTCACTCAGAGAAAAGTTTTAAAACTGTCAAAATCTTTCATGAGAATAGCCCATAGCTGTAGGAAGATAGTGACTAATCAGAATGTTCTATACTACCATTAGCCAGATAGAATCGAGCCTACTGTCTCTACGCAAGTTAGTGTCAGAGACAAGGAAACGCACCACAAGTCCACAGACTTCGGCCACAAACCTCGACCTGGGCACCTGCGAGAAGCTTTGATTGTTGTTGTTTCCCTCTTCCTTTCCCCCCTCCCCTTCTCTATGAAAAAAAAGGAGAAATAAAAAGAGAAAGATAGATAGAAGAAAGGTGTCACCTACACACATATATCTCGAGTTTACTTGATAATCCAGGATTGATTAAAATAGGAGTGCGGTGGAAGACGAGACAATATGAAGAAGGATTTTGTTGTCTGCTTTGGGAATTCAGAAAGAGAGACTCAGTTGTTTACCCATTTCACAAGGGAACTACATTTTCAGTGAATTGTATATTACATTTTTAATAGACTTTGTTGAGCTATGTAATTTGGATGTCTCTTCAACGTTTGTTCTACTTTATTGATATATTTTTTGTCACTTTTAAATGAATGTAGGCCACAAGTTCATGGAAACAGAACAATCCTCACATACACCATGGTATCAAAAGGCCAATAATTTAAAAGGAAATTCTCATGTAGTAAAGAAAAAAAAAGAAAAAAAAAAAAAAGAGAGAGAGAGAGAGGACACGGGTGAGAATGAATTCTCGTCTTCCTTCAGCTTTAATCTTGTTCGTGTGATGAAAAGCAATATGTATTATGATGATTCCATAGTTCCATATCATAAGTGCTCATAAATATCTCTTAGATTTTAACCATGAGCATTCTTTGTGCCTTAGTGAGAGTTATTGTTAATTTACTGGACTGACTTTTCAGTGATACAGAATATATGTACTGTATGTGTGTGTCTGTGTAAATGTTACAGTTTATTTGCATACAAATGGCTTGTATAAACTATGGCAAATCATAAGTGTTTTTGTAGGCATCTTTATTTGTCCATTTGAATTTTTTTATTTTATTCATTGTTAATATTTTTTGTTTGTCTATGAGAATATTAAGATATATCTTTTATTTTTATATTATCTAGATAATTTTTCCTATGAGAAGACGAGGGTATTCTGTCTTAACCAGAAATGGAAGTCATGTAGAGCTATTTAAAGGGAAATACAGTGTACTGTAGTTGATAAACCTGTGCTATGGGGCTGAAAGTAAAAAAAGAAAAAAAGAAAAAAAAGAAAAAAATGGTAGTATTGTGTAAAATTGGCAATGCTAATGAGACCATCCAGAGTCTACTTAGTAGTACTGTTTAATTACCTTACATGTTTATTTATTTTATTTTATTTTATTTGAAATTGTTTCCTTCAATTTTCCTCCATAATAAAGTAGGGGGTATTTTAGTCTTGGGTTCAGTTGCTCTTGTTAAGACCTATAAGGTATCATCTATAATAAATATCTGTAGATTGGCTTATATTTTCCTAGTCAAATTTCTTTTGTTAGACCAAATATTTTTTATTTATTTATTTATTTTTTAATCATTTTAATGGTAATTATTTATATATTTATTTTTTATTTATTTATTCTTTTCCTTTCTTTTTTCAATCCCAGTTATTTGTATTTACTTCCAAGTTCAAAAATAGGAATTATTTAATCTTTCTACTTGAGTAAAATACACATCATAAGCCGCTTTGTTTTACTGCCTTGATTAAATGTTTTCCTAACATTGGCATCTGTGAAGGACAGTGTTTTCTGAGTGTTTTCTTGAGGACTTGGAAATGTGTCAAGGGAAATCATGATTTTGGAAGACTATGTGAGTACTAACATGTTCTAGTTACAGTATGTACTTTTCTTAGGTCAAATGTAGATCTTTTGCTGTTTTCGGTTGTTACACTTCTGGGGTTATTTGAAGATGGTTCCTTTTTCTTCCTCTTCTTCTTCTTTTTATTTTACATTTTTTTTTTTTTTTTTTTTTTTTTAAGAGGTCGATTTTGGACTTCAATCTTCCTTGCAGATGTATGGGTTTAAGGGGAGGGGGGCTGATCACTTAACCTGGTAGAGTTGTTTACTTGATGTGCTTTTGTTGAGTAATTATAATTTTATCATTAGGAGGTAATTTTAGGTACAATGTGAAAATTGAAAACTTGTTTGTATTCTAAGTTCTGGAAGCTGTAGGACAGAACATAGCTCTCTTACCCTTTAGTAGCTCAGCTGGCAAATATGCTTCATACAGGGGACCGTATGGAAGAGAAATAAAACGATTTTTGATGAATTTCTTACCCTAGCAATGAAACGCGCGTTGGAGAGCTGGAAACGGAGAAGTTTAATGTGATCGAAGAGGTTGTAGTACTACAGGAACAACTAACGACAGCGAAGTCCAGCATAGAAGAAAGAGATCAGAAGATGAAGGAAATGCAAGAGGAAGTCAGCAATGTGTCGAACCTACGTGCTAAAGTCGATCTTCTGGAGAAAGAAAAGAGGAGTTTGGAGAACAAGATAGTAGATCTCAGGGTCCAAGTGGCATCTACAGAAATCACAAATAATGATTCCGGTAGGTCATTGCTTTCTGTTTGATGAATTGGTCAGAGTAGGCAGTGCAGCATAGTTATTCACGTACAGAATATCAGGGAGCAGATAATTCCATCTCCAATTTTTAGCCGCTGTGTTTACATTTTCAATTCTTCTTCTCTTTACTTGCAGATAACTTTGTTAAGGAATTGAAAGATGAAAAGGATCAGCTGGAAGGACAAGTTAACTTCCTCAATACTGTCATCGTTGACATGCAACGAAAGAATGATGAGCTCAAGACGCGCATAGAGATCTTCGAACTTGGAAATGTTTCTGATGACACTAAAGCTAATATGTAAGTTTTTTTGCCCATTGATGCTATTGTGTTTTAACTTTTTTTTTTTTTTTTTTTTACAAGTTCTTTTAGGCTTCCTGGCAATTTAAATTTGCGTCATGTTCTCCTGATGCAGTTTTATAAGCAAGAATTATGAAGTACAAAATATATGTATTTATAACAAATTTGTGTTCTTACTACATTAGGTATGTTGAAACTAGATATGAATGTCCTAAAAGGTTCAGTTTATCACTACGTAAAAACTAAGATAACTTGGAAGACTAAGTAAAAATGCATGTGATTCAGTATTGCCATTTATTACAAGAAATTAATTACAATTGTTAATTTTTTTTGTGTGTGTGTATTTTAATTTTTTTTTTTTTTACAGGAATGGAATGAGTCCAAAAGGACGTTATGTGGTAGCTCCGAGATTATATTGTGACATCTGTGACTGCTTTGATGCCCACGACACAGAGGACTGCCCGAAACAGGCCTCATCAGACTCTCCTCCTCCGTCACAACACCATGGGGAAAGAGGATCAACGAGACCATACTGTGATACTTGTGAAGGTAAGACGAAACCATTTTTGATTTCTGTTGTGATGTTGAACCAATTTGTTATTAATTTTGATTTGATTTACTTTTGCAGATCTGTACTTGATAAAGTAATGTGATAAGCTGTGTTCTTCCGCTTCTTAAGTAATGAAAGCTAATCCTGTGCCCTCCCTTCTTTTCTTTTCCAGTTTTTGGGCATGAAACCGGCGAATGTAATGATGACGAAACCTTCTAAATCGGCTGTGAATCTTAATTGTTAGATATTAATGTTATTGTTATGACATGATATATGCATATAGTTTTGGTACTGTGAAACCTTACTTGGAGTGTTCTCAAAGATGAGTTTGTAAATAGGTCAAAAGTCCACTAGGCATTAAGGTAACCGACTTGTTAAAGGCATTTGTATGATAGCTGGACTGTCTTATAGGCTTTTTAACTTGCGTCTTGTTTTGCAGTGATGAAGAGTGTCCTGAAAATAGAAGCAATAATTTCTGGCCTTATATCGAGAAGTCGAAAATGAGCTTACATAATAGCCATGTACAATGGCATATATATTTAATGTTGAAAAAAAGGAAAATGTTATTATTTGCATTTCTTGTTACTTGAATTTATCTATAGAAAATATAATAAGCATCGTCCACATTTTTAAAGGGCTTACAGGATGTGAAAGTTAGTGTTTCAAATAAAATTGGGGATATGATGGTCCATCTTCAACCCTTTATCTTGTGTCCTCATCCAAATTGTAATCAAAATTTATTTTATATGCATCTTATTTTGTCATTCAATTCAGAATTCAGATAAATATTGTCCATCTACTATTTTGAATAAAGGATATTAATGTATTGTTTGTGATTTTTGTTCTTCCCTCTCCTTCAAGCTTACTGGTTTGTGCATATGTGTGCGCATGCATAAGAGTGAGTGAGTGAGTGAGTGAGTGAGTGAGTGAGTGAGTGAGTGAGTGTGTGAGTGTGTGACAGTGAGAGAATGGTTAAAGGTTAGATGAAATAAATATGCTAGATATCAAAGGTCATATAGCACTATGGTAAATTATTGTGCCAAAAAGGGTGGAAATGAGTTCAGGATAAGATGTATTAGATGTCAAAGGCTGTAGAATTGTAGCACATTGTAGGACAGAATGTCAGTGAAAAGGGTGTAGAGGGGGAGCGAGCAGAATACAGTCGGGATTTGTAAAAGGGGATGTAGTTGAAGGTATAGGGGGATCAGATCAAATGGAGATTATGTGTCTGAGGAAGGGAGAGTATGAGGGAACTGCAAAAGAGCTATTATGAAACAATCAAAGAGTATTACGGGAAGAAACGATAATTGTAGAAGTAGAAAAATCCCGAGAATTAAATAAGGGAATGGAATGGTGGTGAAGTAACGGGAAGCAGGATGGTGATGTACAGTAAGTCCCCTACTTACGAACATTCCATACATGCAAACAAAATTTAAAAAATACTTAGGTCAAAAAATTGTTTGAAAGATGCGAGCAAACTTCAAGTTTCCTGGGCGCAAATATAGTTCAGGAGTCTGCCACACCATGGTGCTGCCGCGCTCACTCAGCTGTGGGCATCACTCACCTCAGTCGCCTGCCCTCCAGCCATTAACACAAAAGCATCTGTTCACTGTGTGTAAGGGGTATTAAAGGGAAACCTCTTTACATTGGTGACAGGGAAGTAGTAAAAGCTTAGTGGCTAAAAACTTTTATTGATAGAGCTAGCACACAGAGAATACACACAAGTATGACAGTCTTGGGTTATGGCTGGTCACTTGGGGTCACCGGCCAGCCCACCTCCACGTGGACCGGCCCAGCGGGCTGTTGTGACCTCTTGACCGCGCCAAGGCACACACTCCTCTGGCCAGTCGAAACGCGGCCCTTAAGTATCCGAGATGCTAGCTTGGGAGGGTGAGGAGAACCGCCCATCCGCTGGGGCACGCCGCATTGGGTAGCCAGGGCGTGGTGCCACGTGATCACTGTAAGCCTCCACGTGGGGGCCACGCGGGCATATAATACCGTTATAACACGGTATACTGTGTCCTCGTGTACCGCCAATTTTTGTGCCATAATTCGCTTTGCCTGTGCATCAATCCATCAAAAATACTTATTGGGATTTATGTACAGGTATTCTTAATGTAAACAAAACTTTAAAACAATGAGAAAAAAGGCAATGGTGACCCAACTTTGGATATATGAACAAATGGAGTTACCAACCGCCTCTCGGTCCCCATTATGTTCGTAAGTTGGGGACTTTCCGTACATAGATTGGTGTAGGACTTACATTGGCCTTTGAGAGGAATAGTGTAGTACTGGACTGCCACTGCATCATAGTAAACGAGGCATGCGAGCAAGTTGTTTTCACAGTCTGACCAGACCTTGTTGTAAACAGGATAGTCAGTAGGAGAGAACAGTTACAGTACAGGTATTAAGGGAGGAGTGAGACTGGAATTGATCCCCCTTGACTGGGCCAATAAAGGGTACTCAAAAGGTTTGCAGAAGTTGAAGTAGTAGAAGGATGAGGGCAGGTATGGAGAATGGTAGTACTGTTGGGAGGAGGACAATAAATATAGAGAGTAGTAATAAAGGGGGTGGGGGTAGACAATGAAGAAGACCGTGCCGTAGAGTGCTGTTGGAGACTGTTCATGACTGACGCAAAGCCAGCCTTTCATCCTTTCAGCACGGCTCTTACACCATAGGAAGTGGACAGAAGAAGGGGACAATGAAGAACAGAAGAGAAGGAAAGGAAAGTGGGAGAAGAAAAGACTATGCAAAATTAGTTAAGGCGAGGGCTGAGGTCCAAGGTAAGGGTGATCCCCAACATTGGGCCCCAGTCTCCATCTCTTAATCCCCCCCCCCCCCAACAAAGAGCAAGGGATTTGGGGAGAGAGAGAGAAAGAGAGAGAGTGTATGTGTGGATGGATAGGTACTTGTACAGTGTGTATGAGAGCATTATAGTATTATAGTTTTTATAGGCAAGGCTGGGAGTCTGAAGTCCATGCAAACAGTTCTGTGCTAAACAGACAGACATACTGTTCCCAAAGTCATGAGTTCATCATACAAGCAAATGTACACTTGATGTTATGATTAGGAAGTAGAAAAAAAAAAAAATCATTGTAACATGTCTGACAGAACTCCTGAACATCTGTGCAACTGTATATGTATTATTTGTGGACAAAGTGAAACATATTTACAGATTAATGGTATAAGCTGGTGTAACATTTCTTAATGTGGGGAAAAAATATCAATAAAAAAATACTACAATGTTTAAAAATAATCACAATATATGGACAATGCAGAAAACAAGTAACGATTTACAGTTTTGCATAATCTGCAGGTGATTATTTTCATCTCTCTTTTCATAGCCACTTACACTGGGTATTCTGATCAACCTACAAATCACCTCTCAGTGGCATTAATAAACCATTTAAATTTAGAGAGCATGGTTTGTAATCACCTCTTACATTCCTAACACTGTATTGCCTCAAAGAGTGTCACTGGTGAGATGCTTGCACCAGGGCCGTCGCGACAGGGGGGTGTGGGGGATGTGACACCCCCCCCGATTTGGGGAGAGAGAGAGAAAGAGAGAGAGTGTATGTGTGGATGGATAGGTACTTGTACAGTGTGTATGAGAGCATTATAGTATTATAGTTTTTATAGGCAAGGCTGGGAGTCTGAAGTCCATGCAAACAGTCCTGTGCTAAACAGACAGACATACTGTTCCCAAAGTCATGGGTTCATCATACAAGCAAATGTACACTAACATATTCACTTGATGTTATGATTAGGAAGTAGAAAAAAAAAATCATTGTAACATGTCTGACAGAACTCCTGAGCATCTGCATGTGCAACTGTATATGTATTATTTGTGGACAAAGTGAAACATATTTAGATTAATGGTATAAGCTGGTGTAACATTTCTTAATGTGGGGAAAAAATATGAATAAAAAAATACTACGATGTTTAAAAATAATCACAATATATGGACAATGCAGAAAACAAGAAACGATTTAGTTTTGCATAATCTGCAGGTGATTATTTTCATCTCTCTTTTCATAGCCACTTACACTGGGTATTCTGATCAACCTACAAATCACCTCTCAGTGGCATTAATAATCCATTTAAATTTAGAGAGCAAGGTTTGTAATCACCTCTTACATTCCTAACACTGTATTGCCTCAAAGAGTGTCACTGGTGAGATGCTTGCACCAGGGCCGTCGCGACAGGGGGGTGTGGGGGATGTGACACCCCCCCCCCCCCCCAACAAAGAGCAAGGGATTTGGGGAGAGAGAGAGAAAGAGAGAGAGTGTATGTGTGGATGGATAGGTACTTGTACAGTGTGTATGAGAGCATTATAGTATTATAGTTTTTATAGGCAAGGCTGGGAGTCTGAAGTCCATGCAAACAGTCCTGTGCTAAACAGACAGACATACTGTTCCCAAAGTCATGGGTTCATCATACAAGCAAATGTACACTAACATATTCACTTGATGTTATGATTAGGAAGTAGAAAAAAAAAAAAAAAAAAAAAAAAAAAAAAAAAAAAAAAAAATCATTGTAACATGTCTGACAGAACTCCTGAACATCTGTGCAACTGTATATGTATTATTTGTGGACAAAGTGAAACATATTTACAGATTAATGGTATAAGCTGGTGTAACATTTCTTAATGTGGGGAAAAAATATCAATAAAAAAATACTACAATGTTTAAAAATAATCACAATATATGGACAATGCAGAAAACAAGTAACGATTTACAGTTTTGCATAATCTGCAGGTGATTATTTTCATCTCTCTTTTCATAGCCACTTACACTGGGTATTCTGATCAACCTACAAATCACCTCTCAGTGGCATTAATAAACCATTTAAATTTAGAGAGCATGGTTTGTAATCACCTCTTACATTCCTAACACTGTATTGCCTCAAAGAGTGTCACTGGTGAGATGCTTGCACCAGGGCCGTCGCGACAGGGGGGTGTGGGGGATGTGACACCCCCCCCCCCCTGAAAAAAGCATCTGTCGGCAAATGAAACCTTAAACCTGCATGTTTTCGGAAAATTGGTAAATTTTGACAGTTTCTGCTGCTAATTAGTCGGCGCTCTCTGGGAATGGTTCACAGAACATAGTTATTATGTGACTAATAAAGTCACCAATGCCCAACGCCCAATGACCACGCCCTTTGTCAGCAAATTTGAAACATTACACCCCCCCTGCAATGCTGCCTTCCCGACGGCCCTGGCTGGCACTGCACTTACTGATGGAGATCTTTATTCTTTGTGTTTAAGTACTGATTGCAGAAGCTTGAGATAGCAGCAGGCCTGAAGATAATGCACTCACTTGCCCATTCATTGTAAGCTCTATGGGGAGATGGAATGTTCTATTGGTTAATTGATCAGGTATATCTATATTCTTGATAGCATTCCTATTATACTTTGTTATTTTCGAAATGAAGATGAACTCCAGAGGTGTGTGATAACTGACTAGGTGTAACAAGTAATATTGTTGTATTCCAAGTAATCATCATCACCAACCTGCTACTATCCAAACGATTATTACCAACATGTCATCAGTCATGGCAAGTGTATCTCCAGTTCGATAAATCAGTAAAGGTATTCTTCCTCGTGTTGGGGGGTTGAGTAAAATGTCGGTTGTTCAACTCCTTATAGATTATGTATTCCTTGTTTTTTTTTTTTTTTTTCATTTCTAGTCAATGTCGACATAAATACTTTTGTGGACAATGTTCCCTTTGGATCTTTATCCTGATATTGTGCCATCACAAATGGTCATCATTACCCCATTGCCTCCAAAATCAATCACACTTCCGCAAAGCCCCACTGCCAAAACCA